GGATGTGCGCCGAGGGCTGGAGCCCCTCTGCCATGGGGACAGGCTGGGAGAGTTGGGGGTTCAGCCTGGAGAAGGGAAAGCTCCGGGGAGACCTCAGAGCCCCTTCCAGTGCCTGGGGGGCTACAAGAAAGCTGGGGGGCGACTTTTCCCAAGGGCAGGGAGTGACAGGACAAGGGGTAACAAGTTTAAGTAGGAAGAGGGAGATGGAGATGAAACATCAGGAAGGAATTCTTCCCGCAGAGGGTGGGGAGGCACTGGGACAGGTTTCCCAGAGAAGCTGTGGATGCCCCATCCCTGGGAGTGTCCAAGGCCAGGCTGGATGAGGCTTGGAGCAACCTGGTCTAGTGGAAGGTGTCCATTCCCCAGGCAGGAAGGATCTTGTTGCCTCAGTCGGAGAGGAACTCTTGGGAGTAGAAAGTCCTCACTGAAGGGAATCCTCCATCACCCCTGTGCCATCTCCAGCTCTTGGATATAAAGCCGGTATTTCTAGGTTTGGCTTGAAATTAGAAACAATCTCAAGCCGAGTGGTGGGGGGTGTCTTCTGTTGGTTTTAAAACTGAATTTCCCTCAAAAACAACAGTTGGAATTAAGAAGGGGAAAAAAGCTGGCATTCTTCACATTGAAAAAGGTGTCATGAAAAGCCTCAGAGCCGCAGCCAGTGGCTGAGTCCCCTCTGCCAGGCTGGAGGGACCCCACCGCCGGGTCCCTGTGTGCTGCTAGTGGGGTGCAGGCAGTGGGGCCAGCCCTGGTGCCTTGTAAGGGCTTGGTTTTAGTGAGCAGGGGGTGGTGGCCAACCCCTGCACAAACCTGGGCCGGGTGGCTGTGTCAAAGGAGCCTGGGGGCATCAACCTGCAGGCAACGGACCCATGCAGCCCTCTCCATCCTGTGGCCAGCTGGGAGATGAGAGGGACTTTCTGGCTCTGGAGACTGGGTCTGGCAGGAGATGGGGCAGCAGGTCAATCCTGTTGTTCTTTGGGACTTGTGCATAGCACAGGAGGTCCCAAGGGACAGGTTGGGAAGTCACCAGGAGGTGTTCTGTTGACTCTGTGGTCTTTGGGTGAAGGCTTGCAGGGTCATGGGCACCCTGGATGTGTTGTTCCTTACCTTGCAGCCCAGGCAGGCCAGGAAGACCAGGTTCGCCCTCCATACCTTCATGGCCTTGGTCTCCTTTGGGTCCTGGTGGCCCTGAAACACAACAGATATTGAGCTGCAGCCATCACACCCCAGCTTTGCAACCATGCAGCAGCTGCACGAGTGCAGGTACCTGCCCACCCTTCCCCAGCCATAATCGTTTATCGAGTGTCCAGGGACCCATAATAAACACAGATCCCTGCAGATGGGAGAAAAGTGACAGCCAGGGAGCTTGGCAGCAGCCCTCTTCCATGATATATGGATTTTAAAGGCCAAACACGGATCCATTGACCTGGGTTTTGTGCCAGAATTCCTCCACCTTGCAGCTCCTGTGGTTCCACCGTGAGCATGACTCTATGGGAAATGCTCTGGAATTGCCTTTTGACCCAAAGTTGTGACATCTCCAATGAAATAACGTTAAGGAAAAAGAAAATTTGAGGAGAGGATTTGCATCACTGATCTCATCGGGAACCGGCCATCGGTGACTGCATTTCGGTGTAAACTCTCGTGAGCGAGCGGAAAGTCCAACCCAGTGACAGAGTTATGTTCCTCAGCCTGCAAAGGGCCAAGTCCGCAAAGCTGAAAACAATTATGAGCTAAATCAATTGGAAGAAAGAATTTAAACAGAAAAAAAAATTTAAAAAGCCTCATGGGATGGTAGAAAATAGGGCAGAGAGAGGCCTGGAGGGGTCATTCGGTCTTTGTCCTCCCAAGCCAGGGTGATAATTGGAAACTGTTAAACACTGTTATTCCTAGAAACCCCAAAAGCCATAATCTCGCAGTTGTGCAGAAAGCAAACAACCAGCCAGGGCTACAGGCGACGTGGTAACGCAAAAGGATCAGGAGAGGAAAGGGGAGGGGATGTTCAGCAGTCCTAATGAATGAGTAATTAGGATCTGCAAATATTATGCAGAAATTAGAGGGTTTCCAAGCAGATGAACCACAGCGAGGTCAGGAAACGTCCTGAGCTGGAGGAGGTCAGTGGCTGGGAGAGGACTATAGGGAAATATTCCATTATCTTGCCCTGGGTTTCCTCTTCCCTAGGTGACGCACATCTCCGGGCGCTGAGAGGGTGAGGGGATGGATCCTGGTCCCTGGGACATGTCTCAGTTGGCAAAACAGAAGGATGGAAAGAACAATGGACACCCGGGAGAGCTGAGTACAACAAGGAGGCATTTTTGGGTGGGAAGAAGAGGAACCATGTGGAGGAGGGATGCTGCCTGGCCCTGGGTAGGAGAGGCAGGATTATCTATGATGGAGAAAGTACAACAATGAAGAGCTGCTCCAGAGCCGGACATGGGGCAGAGTTGGGTGAGGTGTGCGCTGTATGAAGGAGTTGGGTGCCTGATGAGAGAATTTTCATTCCCATAGCATTGAAGAAGGGCGTTACACCACAGCCATTAAATCATGGAATCACAGGATGGTTTGAGTGGGAAAGGCCCTCAAAGCCCACCCAGTGCCCCCCCCTGCCATGGGCAGGGACACCTTCCATAGACCAGGTTGCTCCAAGCCTCATCCAGCCTGGCCTTGGACACTCCCAGGGATGGGGCATCCACAGCTTCTCTGGGCAACCTGTCCCAGGGCCTCCCCACCCTCAGCGTAAGTCTACATGCTCTCAAATCCACTTACGTGCCTCCTGGAGTCTGAAAAACTGAAGAGATGGGCAACTAACTAAATAAATATTTATGCACCCGATTGCATAAATAGATGGTGCTAAGTGCAGCCATTGATTTTCAGTGCCCCAGAAGAGCAAGAGGGAGCTCAAGTCAGGCCAGTTTGTTAAAATGGAATAATGTGGATATGTTTATGCTGCCCCATATCACCCAACTCCTTCTGAAATAAAGAACTAATTGAGAATATATGTAGAACTAACAGATGGCTCATCCCTGAAAGTGTCCAAGGCCAGGCTGGATGAGGCTTGGAGCAACCTGGTCTAGTGGAAGGTGTCCCTGTCCATGGCAGGGGGTGGCACTGGGTGAGCTTTAAGGTCCTTTCCAACCTAAACCATTCCATGATAATGCAGAAATAAAAAATAAAATAAGTCAATAACATCAGTTTCAGAAAGCAGAGCCTGCCAGAGATCCATGCCTTCCTTAAGGTGACAGTGAGTTTCCTGGGTAGCAGTGGGAGTGCCAAGCCAAAGGAGTTTTTCTACTGGAGTATCTCCTGCCCGAAGGTCCCAGGAGTCCCAGGATGAGCAGTAAAACCCCTGCGTGACCCCACCATGCTCTTGAGCTTCGGTCAAGTTCTTCCTTCCCCTGCTTGCACTCCAGCGCAGCAAAGGTTGGGCTGCTGAAAACCACTTGCTTAAACAAAACAGATGCTTTCCCACCGCAAATGAAACTAAAAGCAACCCTAGAAACATCTGTGGTGGGAGCCATGGAGGAAAGGTCTCCCATTCCGTCACCCTCCCTTTGCCCCAGGCCCCCTTGCTGAGGGGAAGGAGTCCCAGGCCAATGACACTGGAGCAAAACCATCCCTGGCACGAAATGTCTTGCTTCCCCCATGCAGGCTCCTGCATGGATCGGCTGAGGTCCCCTATGCGGGGGCAGCTCCGACAGCTTCCATCTGCTCTGGTTTTATGGGCACACCGGGAAATTATCCACTCTATAGCCCCACCTCAGTTCTGTTAACCCTGGAAAGGACATGGGAGCTGCCTGCTTGGGGAAACTTTTGGTGCAATGGGGGCTGCAGCTGCCCTTGCTCCTTAAAATCAGCTGCTATGGGGTGGCACCTCAATCCTCTGCCACCATCTCATCATCTCATCATCTCATCTCATCTCATCTCATCTCATCTCATCTCATCTCATCTCATCTCATCTCAGTCTCCTCCAGCATCTCAGAAAACCATCCTGTGGACATCAGGGAGGCTAAGGGCACGGACAGGCTAAGAAGGGAACTAAGTTTCTTAGGGGGTGACCATGGGCAACAGACAATCTCATCTGCTCCGTAAGAGCTGGAGGCTGGAAGAATGCAGCCAGGGAAGAGACATGTCCCTTATTCCCTTTCCCTAATGCCTGGGGTTAGAAATGGGGCTTGGGGATGGGCAGATCGTTTGGTTGATCCTATTTGGTGGCCTTTAGGTTTTGGCATTTGCCTTTCAGAACCAGTCCCACAGTGATCCCTGTGGTCCATCCACCACCAGAACATCTCCTTTTGGCTACATTCAGGCAGCTCCGTGAGCAGAGATGGTCCCGTCCCCAGGGTGGGATGGAACACAGGGCGCAGCTAGGGTGGAGGATGGGGAGGGGCAGTTGGGAGAGGCTGAACAGTGCTGCAGGCACCATCCCAAGCTGGTCTCTGTGCCAAGCTGGTCCCCACCCCACAGCATTTGAGGTTTGCACTCAGGAAAGGGAACCCCAGCCCAGATGTACCCCTGCTTCACCCTCCTGCCGGGGCTGGGCTGCTCGCTGCATCAGCGGAGGAGAAAAACCCTCCAGAACCATCGGGATGAGGACTTCCATGACGTGCACAGATCTGATGGCCAGATGGGGCCGTTGCAATCACCCCACCAGACCTGCTGCGAGCCAGCACATCCCACCCAGCGAGTTGTGCAAGCGGCTCCGGGCGGGCGGGAGATGATCCTGGGCATCCTCCCTCCCGATGACGCTGTTATTTAAGACCCAGAGCCCCTTTGCAACGCGAGGCCAAGCCCTCTCCAAGACACGTGAGCTGCTTGGCATGGTCGGCTGCTGGAGACGAGCCTGGGGACCAAGCTGCCATCAGCAGCAAACAGCCCCAAAAAGCCAAGAGCCCAGGGTAGCTAAGGTCTTGAGGGAAGGGAAATGCACCCCCAAGCAGGCAGCCCTGCATCTCCCAGGGCTGGCTCTGCCGGTGCAAATCCAGCTGGGAGCACGGTGGATTTATCCAAGGACATTTGGAGCCGGGGTAAAGGCAGCTGGGCACAAGGCTCCTAAAATTATCCAGCCCCACAGCCCGTCGCTGCTGACAGCAAGTAGGGAGGGAGGAGGGATGGGGAGAGAGGGAGGTGGGGGCTGCCAGGAATGTGTCAGAGCAGCGGCTGATAAATCAGGTGCTGGCCGTTGGGAGGGGATTTGTTTTGCTTTCTGCTCATGTTAATTGGAGTAACATGGCACATGGGTGTCAGGCTCCATGACGCTCCCCTTCCACGGTGGCTTCATCCAAGAGAGGGTGACATCCACCCCATGGCAGTGGGGCAAAGAGATGGCACTGGGAGTGGGTGGGCAGCTACGAAAACCTCAAAGCTGTGGGTTCAACGTGGTCCCAGTAACCCCAAACCAGGCAGTGGGGGCCAACGTCCCCCAGGGACCAGGGAAATGACCTCAGTGAGCTGCTGGTACCCAAGGGTGATGGTACCCAAGCCTGGATGGGGAGAGGTAGCTGCCACGGTTCAAAGCACGTCTGTCCCCTCCCAGCACCTCAGACAGCCTTGGCGTCAGCCCCTTCCTTCCCCCTCTGGTATTTCAGCTGGAAGCACCAGCAGTAAAGCTCTGTTTGGAGTTGGGGGGGTTGTGGCAGAGGAACAGACCATTGCATCTCCCAGGTGTTGGTGGGCAACTGCCCCCAAGAACTTGCACTGGGTTCTTCTGTGTTTCTCCATGGTTCTTCCTCTCCCATGGCAAGTTCACGACTGAACCAGCCGTGGAATTCAGCAGCTCTGGATGTGCCCCATGTGGATTTGCCCAGTGCCTCTTGGAGCCACTTTGGGTTTCTGCCTCCACAAAGTCCTGCAGCAAGGAGCTCCAGCCAGGCGAGAAGCAGGCATGGGGGGAAAGGGCTGCCCTGAGCCTCTCCTGGGTTTGCTGCCCACTGTTCCCTCTTGGTCCTGTGCCATAAATCACGAGGATGCTCACAACTTTGCTGGCTCCCACCACACCCCCGCTCAGCTGCCCACGTTCCTGAAGAGCCCAGCCTTTCCCTGCCCCATCCTTGCTGTGTCCATCACAGCAGACACAGGTTTCTCCAGAGCAGGCATCTCCACCTGAGCTGGTTCCCTTGGAGCTGGGCTGTCCTAGGAGATCCCACAGCAGCAAGACAGGAAGATATGAAGGAGCCTTATAGCACCTTCCAGTGCCTGCGGGGCTACAAGAAAGCTGGGGGGGGCTTTTCCCAAGGGCAGGGAGTGGCAGGACAAGGGGTAACGGGTTTAAACAGAAAGAGGGAGATTGAGATGGGACATCAGGAAGGAATTCTTCCCGCAGAGGGCGTGGAGAGGCACTGGGACAGGTTGCCCAGAGAAGCTGTGGATGCCCCATCCCTGGAAGTGTCCAAGGCCAGGCTGGATGAGGCTTGGAGCAACCTGGTCTAGTGGAAAGTGTCCCTGCCCATGGCAGGGTGTGGCACTGGGTGGTCTTTAAGGTCTCTTCCCACCCAAAGTGGTCTGAGATTCCATAATTCTATGATTTGGGAGGGGCTGAGGGTACTAAAGGAGGAGAAGATGGGAGGAGGAAATGGAGCAAAGGGGATGTACGGTGAGGTGAGTGATGCAGCTGACAACTGAGGGTACTGGTGGGCAGCTCTCTGCTTGGCCGCTGCACTATGAAGTGGGACAGAAGCCCACCCTCGCTGCCACACTCGCTCTGGCTCACTTTCATGGTCAGGAGGGACCTGGCAGAGCATTCCCTGGCATCACTGAGGAAACCTTGGGACCTTTCTTCCTAACACAGATGGGGGAGCATTTGGAGGGTCCCAACTACGCCGAGTACAAGGTGATGGAGACACTTGAACACTACACAGCAGCCCCTAATGGATTTGACACACCCTGAGACATCCCCACAGGACACCCCCATGCCACAGGGACCATTTCCACCACCACCCAAAGCACCGAGGACCACCCCTCTCCTCACAACAGCTTCACGAACCAACAAGGGAGCTGCTTACAAGGCGTGCTTGGCTTACCCCGTATCACAGAGATATTCTTCAGCGCGACAGAGTGCTCCCAGTCCTTGAGCCGCAGGTCCTCCGTCACGTTGTTGAGGATGGCCAGCTCGTGCTTCAGCTGCTCCTCCATGGCTATGTGGATGAGGCGCATCTGCCGGGCATCTTCCGTGGCGTTGCTGATCAGCACCTGCAGGTCCTGGATGCGGGTATGGTGGATGCTCACGTCGTAGGAGAAGGTCCTGTTCATGGTGTCCACGGCCCCGCTCACGGTTGTCACCTGGTCACTCAGGCTCTCCACCCTGCTGCCCAGGTGGCTCAGGAGGTGGTCATGGTGCTGCAGCAGCAGCCGGCTGCTGTTGCCTTCCACGGAGAGCTTGTACATCTCCTGCTGGGCTGCATCGCTTTGCTGGCTCAAGCTGTCCCAGAGGTTGGACACTGCCTTGTCGGTTTGGCTGGCCTGGGTCTGCAAGCTCCAGAGCAGCCCTTCCAGCTTCTGCAGGGACCCCGTCATAAGGAACAAGGAGTCTGAGTGGTTCTGCAGGAGGTCCTGGAGCCTCCAGATGTGATCCAGCACGTCCCCCTTCAGAGGTAGGTGCAGCATCTTCAGCTGCATGTCCCGAAAGCTCTCGTTGAGGCGGTTGACATTCCCCATCAGCGCTTTCAGGTCCTCAGGGGAAGTCTGTGGTCTGGAGACTGCAAGGGATGGAGAGGAGTGGGAGCATCAGAAACCACCCCATGGAGATGGGGACCCTCCTGAGAGGTGTAATCCCGTCTCCTCCCAGGGAGACCTTGGACATTGCCCCATGCCACCACTCCCTGATGCTTGGAGGTGAAAGTCCTACATCAAACCCCAAAAGGCTCAGCCCACCAGCCCCATGGCTTTCTCCACAGTTGGAGAAGGAGGGTGGTTGCTGAAGTGCTGGAGAAGGTGACATCTCACTCGGGGAGGACAGCGGAGGCTCCCAGCAGCTCTGGACTTTGCCAGATGGGTCACCGTGCTGCAAAGCTCTGCCTCGTGCCTTCACCCGGCTCATGTTTGCCTTGGGTCGGACAACTGGCTGCTAACAGCATCCGCTTCCCTTTCCCAAAACCAGACCTTAAAAACTGCTTCTTCCCCCGCAGAGGTTTTAGTTTTAATTTTAACAGTCAGGTTTCCCTCCTGGCCGCTGATCCTGGGCCTGAGCTCAGCCCTTTGCTCTGTAATGAAGACCATCAGGCTGGCTCGGCAGGTCTCCGCGGCTCTGGGTGCGGTTTGCTATCAGCCTCCAAGTACTGCATCCCGCATCCCGGGGCTGCCAGGGCTCTTCCCAAGGGAGAAAACCCACCCTGGGTCAGGAACATCTGCATCCTGGGGCTGCCAGGGCTCTTCCCAAGTGAGAAAACCCACCCTGGGTCAGGAACATCTGCATCCTGGGGCTGCCAGGGCTCTTCCCAAGTGAGGAAACCCACCCTGGGTCAGGAGCATCCCTCACCTCCTGCCTCTGCATCCCTGGTGGGAGAGAGCTCCTGGCCATCCAGGCACCCCCCCAACCCCTTCCTGGCCTCTCACCAGCTCCCAGAGCACAGAGATGGGGTCTGGGGAGGGAACCTGGAAATCTGGGAGGGAACCTCTTGCTCTCAGCAGCTCCTATCACAGCTCCAGCAACACCCCTGCCCAGCAAGCCCAGTAGCACCCAGTAAAGCCTGATCCCAGACCCCAGCACCCCATTGCATGCCCCCAAAACCACTGATCCAGGCAGGGAATAACATCATCTCCCTCCGCCTTGCATCAACGTTGGGTCTCCAATACAGCCTGGGGTGGGGGACTCGAAGCCAAACCCACATGAATAATGAGATTTTTCTTCTTCTTTTTTTTTTTTTTAAGAAAAATAAATAATCCCCATTGTTCTTTGGGCTGCGGTGGGGCTTTGGCTGGCGCGGGACTGGCCTGGCAGCTCACCCCCTCGTTTCCACAGAGGAGAAACCCAGCAAAGCCATTTGGTTTGAATTAAAATCATAGGAGTTAAGGAGAGGGCGAAAGCAAGACATGCACATGCAAAGGGCTCCAGCCCCCCCCACCCCCGGGCTTTGCACAGCAAAGGGCTCCAGCCCCCCCGCCCCCAGGCTTGGGGCCACCCGCAGCGGCAGTGCTGGGGGACCAGGGGACCGGTCATGCCCAGGGAGGGGACTCTGGGAGCACCATGGGGCGAGCAGCTGCCCCCCAGCTCTGCAATGGGTTGGTGGGTGCCATAATGGAGGAGCTGAGCATCTTCCAGGCACCAAAGGCATCTTTCCTCCATTAATTAGCTCTTGTTAATTAATCCACTGCTGGACTGTCCCGGCTTCCCCTGGGGAGCTGCAATGTGCCAGCTCAGAGCATCCCTCATGGGACACAGTGACATTATTTGGTCCCCTCTGCACATCCCTGCTTGTCACCTGCATCTCTGGGGAGGGGGCTTCTCAGTGTCACCAGTTATCACCCATCCCTGCTGTGCCAGGACGTTTCGAGGGAGCCTTTGCCCATGGGGGGGTTCACAACAGGCAAAGTAACCACGTGATATGCCCAAGGCCTCCCCGAGGGGGGACAACTGGCATGGAAAGGCCTTGGGAAAAATCGCCACGGGGCTGGCGAAAGGGGTGCGCAAAGCTGCTCCGCCACGTCTTTCTGGAACCAGACTGTGGAGACAACCACTGCTTTCTTGCAAGGAAACCAAGGGGAAAAGCACCCCTGTGGGGCTGGCACAAGGAGAAAGAACCCAAATCCCAGGTCCTGCAGTGGCTGAGGGTTGGGAAGCACAGGTGAGCTCCCCACTTTGCACCTGCAGTCAGTTGCAAAGCCTCTGGAGTTCCCCAAATTCCCATAAAGCCCTTCCAACAACCAGCTGGGATCCCCACAGCTCTCTTCTGCCCAGCCTTGGCACTGCAGCCACCAACCCCAGAGCGACAGAGGATGCTCCCGAGCATCCCACAGCCAAAAACCACGCCAGGAAGCTTCCAAGCAGCAACACCTCCAGCCTTGGGCTGCTCTGCGCGTGCACGGATGCGCGTGCCAGCAGCTCTCCTGCCTCCCAAATCTTCTACCTCCCACTCTTCACTTGTTGGGTTGGTAGGATGGACTAATCCTGCTGCAAGGCAGAGGCACGGGCATTGCCCCGCTCAGCAGGCAAAGCTGCAGGTGGGGGCTGCAGGCTCAGAGGAGCAGAACGCGGGCCCATAACACTCCTGGGTTTCTGTTCTTTGCATGAAATGAAGAGCTGGAGCGTGTTAGAGTTGCTGGGAGCCCGGAGCATACACACAAACGCATGCACACATCTCACGTGTATGCACACACACTCGCACACGCGTGCAGGCATGTGCGCCGCACAGATACTTGTGCACAGGCACACAAGCATGCATGCACACAGCACACGCATGCATGAGCACAGCACACGCCTGCACACACGCATGCACGCACGTAGTGCATACACACGTGCACCCAGCACAGACACGCTCCCTGCTGTGGAGCCCCAAAATAGTGCCTGGCAGTGCTGGGGGTGAGCTAATGGTCCCCGAAGGGCTCCTGCTCACTGCTATTGTGTTTTTGGGACACGCCGTCTTCCTGGCTGCCATCCCCATCCATATTTCAGGGAGAAAAGCTTTGCAAGAACCCCAGGATCCTACCCCAAAGCCCCTTTCCAGGCCTTTCTGAGCAGAGCACCACCAGCCCGGTGCAAGGTCACGCCTGGCACGTGTGCTCATGGTTGTGCACATGGGTGTGAAAGGTGCAAACGGTTGGAAAAGTACAGGGAGAGAAATGCCTTGAGGTTGCTAAATATGCATCTATTTGCATATCTGCACACGGCGCGATGCAAATGTGCACGCATGTACTCCTTGCACACCTGCATTGCAACCCGTGCACACGCACTCCATGCCACGCACACTCACACACACGTTTTTGCATGGACAGGGACCCTCAGGCAGCTCTTCCCAGCTTGTTCCAGGGAAGTGTTCCATTCCTGCAGGCTACCGGCTCTGGCAGAGGTAACCCAGCCTTGCCACTTGGCTGGGGTTAATGAAGAACCCAACCTCCGCCCTCGCCCTCCTGCTAATTATCCTCACAGGACTTGTCCTGGGGGAGCCTTTCAGGGGTGCCCAAGGATCACACGCAGAGCTGTGCGTGCACACCACCGCTCCGTGCTCCGTCGCTGCCGCCGGGCCCTGCTCCATGCACCACGAGCACGTACAGGCACCCTCGCCTGCACCCAAAATCTCTCTTCCCGCTTTTAGGCTCACGTATAGCCAAGGGGATGCTGCGAACTAGATCCATACGTGCTGAATATGGATCTTTTCACCCTCCTTGGGAATTGCAATCCCCATCCCACTCCTGCGGCGTTACACAGCTGCAGAAACCAAGAGGCTGCACGCAAAATCTTGCGGGATGCCTCAGTGTTGTCTCCAAGCTGGAAGCTCTGATGATTATTTAGACCCAGCTATGAGCCCCGTGGTGTTGCCGCTGGCTTCCCCGGGTTTTATTTCCCTGGGGGAAGTCGGGCAGATGCTGAGCTTGAGGATCAACACTCCACTGGATGCACAACGACAGCGGGTCTGGGCATCCCAAACTTCCAGCCCAAACCCATGTGGCACCGGCCCTGCACAAGAGCATCTCTGGGAGGAGACCTCTTCCAGCGTTTTGGAAAGGGTGGAAAAGCAAGGAAATAGCTGCAGGAGAAGAATCTGGGGCAGGGTGGGGAGCGGGGGATGGTGGGGAGCAGCCAGCACAAGTTTCTTGGGGCTTATCAGCCCAGGCACAGGGTTGTGGGGCTTTTTGGAAGCTCAGGGTTGCCCCGTGTCCCAGGGAGATGCTGGCTGCAGGCTCAGACCAGGTTTGGAGCAGGAAGCAGGAGGAGTTTGCACTGAAGCTGATCAGGGAGTGCTCGTGTGAAGGCTGAGCGTGGGGTTTCAGCCTGACCATGCCTTCATCTCCGCTGGAATCCTCAGATTGTAAGATTTGGGGCTACAGCTCTTGAAACGGAGGGTTCTTGTTTCCTTGGGTGCTTCTGCCAGGCAACAAGGGGCACGAAGCACGGAAACGTGGCCAGCTTACAATGCAAAGATCATAGAATCACAGAATGGTTTGGGTTGGAAAGGACCTCAAAGATCATCCAGTTCCACCCCCCCTGCCATGGGCAGGGACACCTTCCACTAGACCAGGTTGCTCCAAGCCTCATCCAGCCTGGCCTTGGACACTCCCAGGGATGGGGCAAGATGAGCATGGAGATGCAGGTCAGGTGCACAAACGAAATCACTTGGCTCATTAGCCATGCCCTAACGAGCCCTGCGTGGCCTCCTGCGGCAGCTGCAGAGCAGCTCTGGGCTGGGGGCCCGGCTGTGGGGCCGGGCGGGGATTTGGGTTCAAACA